GTTACACCTACCCAACCAAAGATATATCATCGCTCTGAGACCAAGCATCTTCCTCGCTGTTATACCCCAGTCCACTAGCTCCTAGCCAGCCGCTGTCCTGCTGGAAAGATGATGGAGGTGGCTCTGCAGAGTACTGGGGGAAGCTAGCAGGGTAGCCATTCCCTCCAACAGCTGGTGACTGGAACTCAGGGTCGTAGCTGTACGGGGTGGTGCCGTCTGCCGTGGTGAAACCGGTCTGAAGATGCTGGCCTTCATCAGGGTGACTCATTTGCTGGGAAACAGACGCTTCCATCCTGCTCTTCTAGATTGGTATTTACTCCTGTAATGTGATCAATAGTGCAACAATGTTTTCTTTATTAAAACATATCATGTAGTTCCACAAGTACTTTAGTCTTCATACTACTAGATAAAATTAGCTTTTTCCTTACGATTTGAAATTTATTACCTACCTTAGGTGATATCATAGTACGGTCACGGTCTAACATCACTTGTAAATTGCATCGTATTAAGGAAATTTAGTTTCTTCTTCAATTTTTGGGTTGGTCATTTACTTTAAAAAAATAAAAATATATATTGAAAATTGAATAAAACTAGACCCTAGACTACTCTGACTAGTATACAAATAATGAATGGTTATGAGTTCAATAGTGCGAATATTTTCATGAGTTGAAAAATTAACATTCTATTCAACGAGGCATCAGCCGAGTTGAATAGAATTAACGTTAATCTTTCAACGAATGAAAATTTGTTTTATACACCATCGAAGAAGATCTAATAGAACGTTGACCAACAAATTATGTTTTACTCCTTATATTAAAGATAAATTAAAGTTGGAGTCAAGCCTTCTCGCTCGATTACATTCAGATTGCCTTCGCGTCAGATACTCGCAGGGATGCGCGCGCGCACGGCAGAGAGGTACGCAGTCCGCATATAACCAAAAATGCATGGCGCATATAGCCAAAAATGCACGACCGTGCAATATAACATCTATTGAATATCATGTCACCAACAATCCTCCAATCAAATGACAAGGATCCACGTAGGTGTTGTATAATAGAGTCTAGATCTAGATCTAGTTAACGTTAGATTTAATTAAAAAGAGAGTCAAACTCAAACTCAATACTGGACACAAAAGCACCACACAAAGTATGAAAATACTCTATTTAAGAGGCCGTTAGTCAACTGGAAGATCAACAACAACAACAAAATGAGAGAAAGCAAAAAACTATGAAAAAATATAATTAATAAACACTTTGAAATAGGTCTATTGACACAGCATGCACCACAGAAAAAGAAAGAATGGACATGGTCTTGAGACTTGACTGTCTTGACCTAGATCTACAACTTAGATTGTATAAAAAGCAAGTTTTCCCATGCTTCTCTTTGCGATTGCATTGGTGAACTTTCACTTCTGTCAGATCTAGACTGTAGACACCTTCGGCAGTTCGGACGCGACCGAAATTTTAAACAGCTGAAGCCCCAAGATATACACTGTTGTTCCGCGAGTGCCTCGCCAGCACGCAGGCGGCAAACACGGCTTGGTTTCCGTAGGTTACACGCTCTCGATTCTATATTTTGGAAGACGCAAACACGCATCATACCTTCCATCAAATTTGTCATTTCACACTTTAGATCTTTAAAACTATTCTTAAACTCAATGAGTAAGCTATGATTTTTTCAATTTCTTTGCTCCTGGGACATTGTACATGGTACATTGTCCCGTCAAGATGCAACCTCTTGCCCCTCTGCCTCCCTTGCATATAATGAGAATTATTATTAAAGAGTATGAGTACAAGAAGATAGACCAAGAAGATAGACCTGGAAGCTCGACTGCTGTCTCAGCATTCTTCCAGTATTTGCGGTAAAGGTAAAGGTAAAGGTAATACTTTAAATTATACACACCTTATTATTTGACGAAATTATCATTCTTTTAAGTTCTTTCGTTCGACTGCCGTATCCATTGCTTGATGATAGTTGACGATAGCAACGCATCTATTCAACGTAGAGGGCGACATACCCCGATCATAGAGATCCTGTTTATCCATGATTATTGTGACAATTTTGTTCTTGGCAGATAAAGTTTATGTCTTAACTCAGATTCTCATAGATCGATATCTGATTATGTGACTCTCTAGATTGATCAATAAAGTTCAAAGAAGATATAACCTTAATCTATCACAAATAAATCAGGGTTTAGTACAAAAATACATTTTCTTTTTATGGACAAAATTTAGTGTATAATGCACATTAGATTTTTTCTTCATATAGGAAAGAAATCACGACACAGGCCCACACGTGTAGCTACTATAATTGATTAGAACCTTATGATGTGTTAACAAATGCATCGATCAATGGTTTTGCTTCTCTAGCATGCATAATACAAGTTTGTGTGCAACATTGCATAAATAACCAGTAATGGATACTGTAAAGAAAAAGAAAGAAAGAAAATTGCAACAACAGAGAAATTAGCAAATTTGTCAGACTAACCACCTTTATTGTAACCTATGTGATATGAAAATATTTCATTTGGCATAGAAGACTATTGTTGGAACCACTTAATTTGCTGAATAATTTTTGCTCCTCTCTACTATACTAGCTCTTTCATTCATGACCCTCGGTTATACCTCTCTCAAATTCAATAATTCCACATGATTCTATGTCACATGAATTTTTTTTAATTTAATTTTATCGTAGGCATTCTATATTCCTTCTCTTGTTTAGTTCATTTGATTTTGATCTCATGCGTTTTGTATTCCTCCACTTGTTTTTGTTGTCATTTGATTTTGTATCTCATTCATTTTATATTTCATCTGCCATCAATCTTACTCAGTCAATCTCTGTCTCGTAATGTTTCGAAGTGGATCTGCAGTATAACCCTACCATCATAGAATAGGCCTATTATGATTTAAAAAGATGCAGTGATGTAGGGATGATGGTATTGGAGGAATGATTTAAAAGGATGCATGATGGAGGGATGATTTAAATGGCGGGAGATGATTTAAATGGAGGGAGATGATTTAAATGGAGGGAGATGATTTAAATGGCGGGAGACAATTTAAATGGAGGGAGATGATGGATGGATGGATGGATGGATGAATGATGATGATGATGATGATGATGATGATGATGATGATAATAATAGTGATAGATGATAGTGATGATAGACGTTGAATATCTGTATTGAATAACACAAGACCTTATAGGCAACATTGTAGAAACAATTCTAAAATTGTATTGTTATAATTGAATTAAGATATGTTAAAAAGACAAGATAAAGGAAACTTTTATTGAAGAATGCAATGATGAAAATTAATGTGAGGAGTGTTAATGGTTTCCTTACAACTAATACAATTAAAGATAACTACATTTGTTGATTAAACTTGAATGAATCTTTCCTTGTGACATCTTAATAAGTGTTGTTTTTTTTAACGAAAATTAAGAAAAGTAATACTGAACAGGAAAACAGGGCAAATAAAAGATTCCAAGGCACAGCCAAAATTGTTAATTAGACATCTTTAATATCAAAATAGACATTGTATTATATCATAGCAATGAAAACCTATATCTAGATAGTACTGAATAGAGTGAACATAAATGGAAAGACAAGAACATTTTACACAATATCAAATCTACGAACCGTAAAACCAAATTGTGGAGACTATATTAACTTCATAAGTACAGAAAATACATAAAAGGGAGAGGGTTGTCAGTTTCCATGTACAGAAGGTCATAATTCGCTAGCTAACACCAGACTTAATGGAAATACCATTAATGGGTGTAGAAATCTGCACACAGCAAATACCCGTAAGCCCAATCAAGGAATACCCCCTAGTCTTTAATTGGAGAGTCTTCAGGTGATGGAAATGTAAGATAATTATTTTAACTTGGTAATAAGGCCTAGGATTAATGCCCTAGTGCATCAAATCAGTTTCGAACCTAGCATCTCCCTTGTACAAGACCACTGCTCTACCACTGAGCCATCTCACCTCACTTTTATGACCCACATGTCTTATGTAATATGCACTGTGCCCTGAACTTACCACCTCATTAGAAAATCTAAAAATAGAATTTCCTCCACCCTTGAGATGTGACGGCAAGCTTGAGCAAATTTGTCTGGAGAGTCAATGAGTTTCGCTACCTGAGAGACATGTGCACACATTAATAGTATTTCCATTAAGTCTGGTGTCAGCGAATTGTGACCTTCTGTCAGGCGCGGATCCAGGATTTCTTAGGGGTGGGGGCCCAAATTTAAATTTAAAAAATCAATTTGATATTTTGTGTGCTGAAAAATGAAAATCGTGCCGGCCAGTATTTCGCGCAGGGGGGGTAGTGAGCACTTATTGGTGTCAGCGAATTCAGATGCAATTAACACACATGGAAACAGACTACTCTGTGGCTTTAATCATAATTATATATCTCAATTACCATAATTATATATCATAATTACCACAATTATATATCTTAATTACCACAATTATATATCTTAATTACCACAATTAGATATCTTAATTACCACAATCATATATCATAATTACAATAATTATACATCTCAATTACCAAAATTATATATCTTAATTACCACATGAACAACGAAATCAATAAACTTCCTCTATGCCCTGTAATATCCCAGTCTCTATAGAGTGGTCAAGGGTAAAGTCCTCAAAAAACTATTTTTAGAGTTTCCAAATTTGAACTTCATTATCCGAAAGAGCATCAAAAATAATGTTCAAATGTTGAAAACCAATTGAATGTGTTAAGTATTGGCTGGGATATGACCATCCAAATAAATATATTTCAATAGGAAATCACTGTTATTTTGCTCTGGTTCTTAACATTACAAATGCAATGGAAGAGGGGTAGTATTTCCTTGATTGGTAAGAACTATTAAACAATTTATCATAAGCATTAATTAAAAAAATAAAGCAATCAATATTTCAGTAATATGGAACTCCATATACCATGTGACTTGTTGCTGATGAATACCATTGCTACTATGTTCGATTCTTATTTCACTCATTGCCATGGTCCCCATACACCCTGATGATAAGCAGGATTAGCTTCCTCGACCTCACTCGGATATTGCACAGGAACAGAATCCGCATAGTACTTCTTCAGCTTGGCCATCAGTTCTTCTACTACTTCCGGGTGAGAGGTCGAAAGGTCATGATACTCGTTCGGGTCAGCAGTGATGTTGAAAAGCCATGTGTCCTTACCACTGATTTTGAGTGGGTGGATAGGAATGATGCCAGAATCTGGCACAGGAATCCATTGTCCATTATTGGCTCCTGAATAAATAAAATAAAAGATCTTAAAATGTAAGCTCACTTCGTGGGAGGACATCTTAGGCCAAGTACTAAAAATGATTCTTAGTTTCATATCCCTGTCCACATACTTTTTGGGGCCTGCCTCAAATTTTATTTGGTATTTTTTGTTCTAAAATGAAATAAATGATGACCAGAGGACATTTGAAAAATGATATCATTACTAGTCTATGATATGTTTTGGCTTTGTTTTGAACCCCTCAAACTGCAATGTGAAAATGTGAAAATTCAATGTTGTGTTAAAATTGACCCAATATATGTTATATGCACAGGACAAATAATCAAATAATGTGGAACCCCTCCTTCTCAAAAAAAAATCTGAATGAGAACTAGGCATCAACTTTACTTGGCCTGATATATATATACTATCTTAATTTTGAAAATGTTTAAAAATCACTTTGACATTTGATAGGAAGCTAGATTTAAGGGTGGTTCTCCACCAGTTATGATGATACTCACCAGGATCCCCTGTGAGGAGTTTCCAGTGCCCCACCCTGATAGCTGCTGAGATGTTAGCATTGAATTCCTTAGGTTGGTTGGGCCAGGGATCCATGTTATGAAGAAGCTCTTGCCGAGGAGATGAAGTGTTGGAACTGATAAAAACAGGAGACAAAATTATTGATAATTTTACTTTACCCAAGACTCTGCACTAAAGTTTAAACAACATAATGTACAACATATGCAATGATAATTCTACTGTAGCCAAGACTCCACACTTTTTATTTTTCAGAAAAGAGTCTGGATTTAAATTTGCGGAGAATATATGCATGGGCCCCATACTAATATTTTGAAATCCAGGGTCTGGATTTAGCATTTGGGGTCCATGTGCAGGTCAGTGTCAAGTCCTGGTTTACCCTATTCCTAGTACATGTATATGGTATATGGTTGCAGATAAGCAACCAGGGGACCTATGGCTTGTGGCCCTATCCAAAGGACCTGATTGTTGAAGAATGATGCCCCACCAGGGGCACTCATGCATAAATGTAATAAAAAAAACAGAAAGACTTCAGCTCTATTACTGAGCCCTGTCACAGATGACATCAGACTCTTCCAGAATTAGGTCAAAGGGCATGTGTCAAATGTCAACTAAACCTAAAATTTATAAATAGAACATTTTGAATACCCCTTCTAGATTTCTCAAAGCAAGCTTAGATGAATGAAGAGGATCTTTCTAGTATAAGCTTATATTGAACCAGAGAATGTTAGTAATTGAATAGGAAACATTTGATCAGCTTTTATCTCTCTTTTAAAATAAGCCATATATTTCCCCCTTTGATATGCTATTATACATTCCTATAATAAAGACAATACAACTCTCCTTCTAGTAGTTCATCTAAGAACACTGCCTCTTGTGACAGCTCACATATTATTTCATTGCCTATTTCATTAGAATTGAATATATCTCAATTGAGCAATCATGTCCAACATTAAAGTTAACATTATCGTTTAGTCTGTTTGGAACCAGAAGGGCATTAACTTATATCATTTCATAAAGAGTTAAAATCCTTCTGGCTCCAAACATATAATTTTGTTATTATCAAGACGAACAGATTCATCGAAATAAAAAGTAACACTTTGACAGTACCTTATTGTTTTCCACATGTTGAACCCATCAAGCGTTATGTTATCAAGGCTGCTTCCTGCAACACCCTGGACTAGAGTTGGAAACCAGTCACTTACATGGATAAGCTGCTTGTTGACTGTACCCTGAACACTTGCAGGGAGTAAGGGACTGTTGACAAAGCCTACACCTCTCATGCCTCCCTCCCAAATGGATCTCTTCCAGCCTCGGAGGGGCCAGTTGTTGCCCCCTGCTGCCACCTCACCTCCATTGTCTGAAAAAATAGAAAGAAGTAGAAAAATGTTTATCTTGTCCTGTCCTGTCATGTGTTTTGTCATGTCCTGTCTTATCTAACTATGTCAGTTTCCTGTCTTATGTGTCCCACCTTGTCATTCTGTTCTTTGCGCATATTTCGACTATCTAGACACTTTAAAATGGTTTAAAATTATATCTATTTTACTGTGATTATTAAGACACTTTAAAATGATTTATAAAAATAATGTTTATATTATATCTATTATTGGGAACCTACAAAAACAAGCTATGATTTCCAGTAGGTTCCTGTTTTATTTCATAGTGAATGGCCCACTATATCATGACATCTCTTTTCTAAAACATTTTTATTAAGACAAATTAATGTAACTACACTCAAGACCATGTCAAAATGTAAAACCGGGCATCGTTTCACGAAAACGTGTGGAGTACAAGTTCACCCACATCCCATTGAAACACACATTCCATGTTTCAATGGCATGTCAGTCATGACGGTTTCGTGAAACATAGCCCAGCACCTTAAAGCCTGTCTATTCTAGTTTGGCCAGGGGGATTCGACCTCCCTGCAAGGTCACTGACAGGTGGTTATGTCATCAAATCAGCTCTCAATTAACATAAGAAAAAGGGGAGCATGGGGGGCCAACAGGCACCGAGTACGGATTGTTTGCTATATAGAGGGTGCAAGTAGCTATAAGTAGTGCAGTGGGGCTTTAAAGAGCTTACCAGTTGAGAATATAAGCACAGTGTTATCCCATAGCCCTGCCTGCTGAAGAGAATGCACAATCTTTCCGACGGCTTCATCGAGACAGGTCATCATCCCAGCATAGATGCGTCTGTTTGTATTCTTGATGTTCTTGTATCTCTCTTCATATGAGCTAGGAACCTGGAGGGGTGAGTGCACTGACTGGAACGGCAGGTATAGCAGGAAAGGCTGAACAAGAAAAAAGTTCACATATAGTCAACAACTTGATTATTCATACCCTAACCAAATTTAAAGCGGATGCATTTTAAGTTGGGAAAAATTGAATTGTACCGATTTGTATTTATTGAGAATTTCAGCATATATCTTAAAGGATTTAACAAAGGGCCTAATTAAACCAGTCCACCTTTAATACTTAACAACAAGAATTATACAGAGTTAGGGAGAAAGCATAACCGTTTCTATGTTCCATTCAGCTAAATGCTAAAACATAATGACAACATTTCAACAAATTTTGAAAATCTCTTCAAAAGCAGCCAAAGCATCAAAGATTCTGTACTCCCTAGAAATGCTTATAGACCTGTCTATAAAGGCCACATTGTTTGTTTCCCTTGAAGAGTGTTTCTCATTGGTATGTGTTTTAAAGAAAGTGGTATATAACGACCACCTGCCTGTGACGACTTTGCTCTGGGACTCTACCGAGTGGTCTTTATACACAGGATCGTCTGTATTTGATCGTTACTTGTCAGGGGAAAAAAATACACAGGGCTCGGGGCAAATTAGCCCCCGAAATGGCAAAAAGAGCCCCCGAAAGTCATAAAACAGCCCCCAAAATTTTATAGAGTTCAATGCAAAACAAATAAAAGATTGTTATTTTCATGCAAGCAAGCTTGAAAATAATTTTTTCCCTGTTACCTGTTCCACAGGATGCTGGGCGACTATTTGCTGGATTTTCTCTGTGAAGACGAAGGCGGAGTAGTTGCCGACATACTCCCAAGCTACCTTCTCGTTATCCCACAGGTCCATTCCAAGCCAGTGGTTGCTATTAGGTAGGAGGCCATCACCAGCCCTATGGTGGGTCCAATAGTCTTCACCTCCTGTCAAATAGCCTATAGAGAGAAAATGGCAATCAACGAATGCTGTCAGGGAGAATGCTATCAACTGCTGTATTGATAGAGTGCATCAAACAGTCCATTATTTGTATTTGGTAGAATGCAATCACCAGCCCTCACTATGAATATGACGGACAAAGAAAGCGGACAAAATATACAGTTCCTCAGGTAGACAAAGGAACATCCCTTCACTGCTATTGTGTAAAAATGTGTAGAACAGGTGAATATGCATGTGACACCTGTTCTACACATTTTTACATAATAGCAGTGAAGGGATGTTCCTTTGTCTACCTGAGGAACTGTATATTTTGTCCGCTTTCTTTGTTCGTCATATTGATTATTCATAGTGCCTATGGTGGGTCCAATAATCTTCACCCCCTGTCAAATAGCCTATAAACAGAAACAAGCGATCAATGAATGCTGTCAGGGAGAATGCTATCAACTGTTGTATTAGTAGAGTGCATCAAACAGTCAATTATTGGTATTTGGTAGAATGCATCACCACGCCTATGGTGGGTCCAATAGTCTTCACTCCCTGACAGAAATAAGCAATCAACATGCGTTGTCAGGGAGAATGCTATCATCTGTTGTATTGGTAGAGTGCATCAAACAATCAATGATTGCTATTTGGTAGAATGCCATCACCAGACCTACACTGTTCATGTATGGTGGGTCCAATAATCATCACTCCCTGTCAAATAGCCCATAGAGAGAAACAAGCAATCGATGACTGCTGTTAGGGATAAAGACATCAAAAAGAGTAAGGTAATGAGAAACTACCAATCAATGGGGTTTTTTTTTAGTTTAGGGAGAATGCCATCACAAAGTTTTAGATGAATTTATGCTATCGATTGACTCAGAAAAAGAAAATCAACTGTCATCAGATGGAAAGCCATCAAATGACTGAAAATGGGACTACTAGTAATCATCAATACCTGTTACAGCTCTGTGATCTGACATTTGCTCTGAAGACTATTGTCTGGACAATCCACAATCCACAATCGGGCTGATTATATTTTTATATTTTTAGAGTGATCTCCCTATACACGATTTCCTCCTAGCTGATGCCAGCTGATGATGGTGTTATCCTGAATTCTTAAATCCAGCTGGTCTGGTCATACACATTCCTAGATCATATCATCTACAGCTCGAAACAGGTAGGGGAGAGATCGCCAATCAAAAATGGCCAGAATCTTGACTATGACGACAATTGCTCCAGGATTTATTTAGTCACAGATATAGGATTAGGGTAGCAATTGGATTTAAAGTTATACAGTCAAACCTGCTTTAGTTACCACCTGTATAGAAAGACCACCTATCTACAAAGGCCACATTTTTGTTGCCCTTAAAAAAATGGTTTCCCATTGAAACATGTACTAAAGGAACCTGTATGTACATAAAGACCACTTTTCTTGTCTGCATTGTTAGGCCTTCATAGACAGGTTTCACTGTATGTATGGTAAGGTTAAAGTTTATTATAATGATTGGTCCAGGGTTCAAATAGGGATTTGTTTAGCAGAGGAAACTGACTGTGATGCAATAGACCTGTTTTTATTAACTTTATGTTTTTTTTTAACAGTTTCTCATGACAACTAAACCTTGCCTGGCACATCAACACATATTCTATGCAGTGTGGATTCCATCCACAATGATGCCATAATTCCTAGCACATGAATCAAATGGCTGGAAACCATGGGGTTAGGGAGAGTAACATGCATAAATTGAAATAGATTAGTAAACAGGCAGTCGTTTCACAAAACTATAATAAGTTCAAGTTCACCAACATCCATTAGAGCACATGTATTAACTTTAACGAGTGTTTCAATGGGATGTCGGCGAACTTGTACTTAATATAGTTTGTGAAAAGGTGACCAGGTCTATTGTGGCAGGAGCAGACATGTGCCAAACAAGTACAACCTTCAGCTCACCAAAATAGGAGTCAAATCCCCTCTGCGTTGGTAGGCACTCTTTCTTGTAGAATCCAAGGTGCCACTTGCCGACAGCATGGGTAGCGTAGCCGGCTTCACGTAGTTTGTCAGCAAATGTTGGGAGATTGGTCGGAAGACAAAGAGGCTGGGCAGGGCGGATGTAACTGTGCTGAAGGCCAGTGTGAATCTGTCATAAAAATAATGTTGATAATAATAATAACGGAAGTAGAAGAAGTACATGAAATGTTATAAATAATAAATATAATAATAATAATAATAACAATAACAATACTTTTAATAATAATAACAATAAAGTTAATAATAATACTTCTAATAAAAATAATAACAATAATGATTGAAGAAGAAGAAAATGAAGAAGAAGAAGAAGAAGAAGATGAACAACAACAACAACAATACTTAAAATTTATAACAATAATAGTAACAATAAGTATACAAAAAAATAAAACAATCATCAAATCAACTGTCATGTCAAATTTGTTTTTCATAGTTGATTTTCAAAATACAGTTAACTCTGCATAATTTGAAATTGCACAACTTGGTACAAGTTGAATCAATTTCTTTTTCTACAAAACTATGGAAAAGGTGCTATTTTTAATACACAAACCAACGTTTTTGCAGTCCAAACAGAATTGACTTGTGCAGCTCGCGATTATATGTTTATCAGTGATTTAGTTTTAATTTTTATTTCTGTTCATACAGTTATACATAAACCTATTCGATTGAAAGTACATTAAAGCTTGATTTTTGTTTACAATGAGAGAAATAGAAATTATTTATATTAATTAACTGGACTCTGCATCTGGAGAAATTCACATGATGTACATGATGTTGACTTCTTCTTCCTTCTTCCTTTTTTGGTCTTTATCTTATAAGTTCACATCACCTTGCAATAACTGTAAAACATTAACTCAGCTGGACTACAAGAAGCATGCAAACATCAATTAAAGATCAATATTAAGAATAATTTTTCAGATGATTGCATATCCTTTGAAAAGAGTTTGATAATTTGATTGAGACTCATAACATTGTTTTGTTGTCTTAACTTAAGTCGTAAGATTGAAAATTCTATAGAAACATCATAATAAACCAGTGCATCAGTGGCTGTATTTTCATCAGCTTTTGACTTGTTACAATATTCTTATTTGTATTAAATGCTCGGCTCAACATTATTTACCTGGTACCTTCCACTCAACAGTTGCGACCGGGTTGGAGTGCAGATAGGCTGCACGTAGTAGTTCTCCAGGCGCACACCTTCCCGTGCGAGTTTGTCGATGTTTGGTGTGTAGATCTCGGAGCCGTGATAACCGACATCATTGTATCCGAGGTCATCAATCAAAATAAATACAATATTTGGCTTCGTTAATTGGCTGAACTTTTTGGAACAGACATTGCTTATAATAAGCAGATTAATGAAAAATAATGCTAGCTTCATATTTTGCTCAAGTCGGTAACTCTGGGGTAGTAGTTCTCCAGGTCAGTATTACACTCAGTATTTATGTAAACATGAACGATCACGCCAAACTGTTGATCACATGATCCCAAGTAGATCTGCCGGGTCACGTGATGGTACCCAGCCAACAATCACATGACCAAAATAAACTTGTGGACCAATCGTACTGCACGATTTTTCTCACTTTACACCTCTCCCCGGCCCCTGACAATTTTGTTTGATTGATTTTATTTTTGCGTTCAGATAAAAAAAAAAAAATACAAGGTACAATTTAACATAAGTATTACATACATTACAAATACTTGGGTGATGGTGTAAATTCAAGTAAAAGCGTGTAACTCATTCAAGATCGTTAGCGGAGTCGAAAATGGTCGACCCCAAATAATTATTTGCAGAGTTTCAAAAAATATTTCCAACAAAATAAGACTCGCTTTTACCTAAAAACGGCTACCAAAAGTGTAATCTAAATATAACCCTCTTTTGGGCATTACGAGTGCAAATACACACACAAAATAAACACTTTTCGTATAAATTTCTTGCTCTTTAAAACATTAAAATCCGCGGCAGCTCCGTAAATCAGGACCCCTTTTAAAACTATAACGTACCACTAGATCCATTTTGTCTGATACTAATTTTCGAGGCAGAGAGCAATGCAAGCACAACATTTTAAGGGGCTGTTGGGAGGGGGAGGTTGTTTGCCTTGAGGTGTAACCTTTGGCGTTGTAATTTATACTTTTTATGACAAATTTTCAATGGCATGAATTAGATTCGAATTTCTATATGCTTGCTGGCAAAAAAAAATAAAAATAGAAAGGTGATATTCGGGCAACCGCAAGCAGTTATGACATATTCCATTGTTCCCGAATGCCTGCAGTGTTTATGACCCGATACCGTCTAGTTGGATGGTGGAGCTAGGGTGGGGATTAGAATTCAATCATAATGCTTCCTATATCAAATTTGATTGTATACGGGTGAGTTGTGGGGGAAGAGAAGTATTATTTTCCTCTTTGAATATATATAATTCATATACTTCTCGCCGGGCGCAATTTTAGAAGAATAAATGGAGACGGCTTGGGAGTTCTTACATTCGTTTTCTACATAAACCTCGCCGTTATTAATTTATAATGAAGAATAGGGGGGGGGGGTACGTGCTTGGAGCTTTAGCCCCACAAGCCCCCCCCCCCAAAAAAAAACCGCTACTAGCTATACAAAATAAAATAGTAAAATACGTAATAGGAAAACAAATGAGGAGCTGAGTGTGTGTTTTATTTTTATTTTCTCAGGAACGCAATATAAAATTTATATTAGGCCTATCAGTCCCTTGAATCATGACTTGTGAAGGGGATATACTCCTATACGAGGTTCTTTGTATTTTAGAGCACTTTTTATAACTGAATCTGAGCTGCTATCCTCTTTTTATTCTTCTCTTATGGGAATAGGCACTGTTAAAAATCATTTGGATACATTTTCTGATTATCCATGTTGGGGGTACGACCTTTTTGAACATTTTTCAAGGAATTGAGAGTTCTCTAACTTGAATTCCCGAATTATTGAACTACTTATGTAAAATGTTTCCTACTGCAGTTAATATATCTTATTTAATTCAAAGTTTAGAGTATATACTATGCGAGGGAGCATAGCGGCTGAGTGAGAAGAGATTTTCTTTTAGACATATAGGGGGGTAGTGAGCACTAATTTTTTTTTGGCCCTCGAATGTTTGAAAAATCGCACCCCCCTTTAGCGCCAGGGGGGGGGGGGTGCATCTCCAAAAAAAGGTAAAATTAACCTGTTTTTACACGTCCCCCCCCCCCCCAGGGAGAGGCCCCCCCCCCCCCCCCCCTCCCTCGCCCTGGATCCGCCACTGATAGTTAGAACACTTCTTCAGAACCGAAAAATAGTTTGGTCTAGCCTATATCATTTCCTGTACATATTTTGTTTTTTTAGCGTAAGTTGACCCCCCCCCCCTGCGATTGTCGCCTCTACTGGTATGTCTACCTTGAGTGTCGAAAGAATCTCATATAAGCCTAGCTGTGATAAGGAGGCCGGTTGGCTTATTTATGAAACGAAGACCTATGGAAGGGGAAATAAGAAAATTCAGCCATTTAGATTATTAAATAATATTTGTATATAGGTGATTTTTCCAGGCTAGAGCACATATGGACTAAATTTTTTTTCTTCAAATTAACCCAAAATTATGAAACATTAGCTCAGTAGGCATACATGATCCTATAAGAATGGATCAAAAAGTTGGTTTGATATGGTATTCACTTCATAACATCAATGGAATCCTTAGTGGCAGGGTTTAAAAAGTCATTGAAAGAAAGATTTTTTGTTGTCTTCCTTTCATTTTATATCCCTTTCATTTTTCTTCTCACATGTCTAAATTCTTTGCTTCTTTTGATTTTTCACTTTCTTTTCCCCTCCTCATTTCCTTCTTTGGTGTGGAACTCTTGAGGAGGGGTAGCAGTCCACTCCGAAGGACTCCAAGGGCCTATCACGTCCATGGTGTTTGAGCGTCGCGCGCGCGGGCGCACTTGTTTTGGGGAAATCCCCTTATAATTTTGCGGTCGTGTGCGGGAGTCAACATCAATTCTCTGTTACACGACTGGCCTGGGGATCGGATCAGGAAAGCAGAGCAGAGAATTAATCACACGTAATGTACTATATCTTTCGAAGAAAAGCTGTACCGATGCCGCCCCGTGACTATTAAATGCCGGGTTATCCTGCTGTGCTATGCTATACCATCAAAACGACAATGTCATGTTTAAAAACTCATAGACAAAACTGGCTGAGCTGTGCAGTGCAGTGTGAGTGTACTGTTAACTTTAGGTACGTGTCACCATACTGGTCTCTTTCTGTATTGGATATTATATTTGTCACAACTCACAAACCATAGTTTAGGCGGGGCATATGATATAGGAAGATTACAAATTTATAGATGGACCGAAAGCTTTGATCAGTCTCTGATATTGATGGTTGTTTTGCTAAGACCATGTCAGGCCCCACTGACCACAAGTCAAGGTTGACACACTATTGTCAGTCTTACAAAAGAATCCCCAAATACGGTTATCTTTGTCTACTGGTAGTTAAATAGGATTTAGGGTGAAAAGTAGCCTGTACAAATTATGGTTGTAGACGTGTAGTGTAGCCTTTACTCTTTAGGATGTAGGCTGTACGTGTAGCAATAGCCAAAAGGCAAGTTAGGTTAGAACATAAAAAATAACTAAATTTAAAGGACAACAATTAGAATATCTTTTAACATTATATTGTCTTGAAAAATCGTCTCTTCTCTTCGGGCAGATCTAATATCAGCTAAACCATAAATTCAGGGAATTTGGTATTTAAATTGAGACTTTTGTGCCTTTTGACAGTTTTGATAACTGTTTCAGCGTTTGTCATGTTTCATTGTTTGTGGGAAGTCAGATCGGTAAGTATTAAAGTTACAATATTTCAATTGTATGAAAGCAGAAAAACAATAAAAATGTTGACATAAATTGGACAAATATAAATAGAGTTAAATCACAAATTGGCCATTTGGCGAGTGCGGGATTGTGACATAGTGACAGACAACTCTCCCATTTGTCATGTACACAAATATAATTAATGTCTGGTTTTCTCATAATTTGAGTGTGATACAAGAATATATTGCCCGAGCTATGACAATATTGGATGAGTTGAAGACGAGTCTAATATTGTCATAGCAAGAGCAATATTTTCTTGTATCACACAAAAACAAAGCCATATGATATTACAATTATTATCTATATCAGACTGACTAGCAAAATATATTTTTTTGACTCAATTACCTCGGTTAAAATGTTTTTGTTTTTTTGTGATCTCGATATCAATAGTTGAAGTTTCCGGATGACTGAGCCATACAAAAACAATATTGATCAGTCATCCGGCCTGATCCAGGTATTGCACCAAAGATATTAAATATTGGTACACTTATTTATTGACTCAATTACCTCGGGTAAAATGTTTTTGTTTTTTTGTGATCTCGATATCAATAGTTGAAGTTCCCGGATGACTAAGCAATACAAAAACAATATTGATCAGTCATCCGGCCTGATCCAGGTATTGCACCAACGATATTAAATATTGGTACACTGATTTATTGTACCACTTGGAAGCCTTATATAGATAATAATCATTAATATTAGTTAATAAATGAATGTTTTATACAATGTATTGAGTAATCACCTGTACATGTTTTTTTTATATCTGCAGAATTTTTTCCACAAGCTACATGCTACACTGCTCCACTGCTACTCAGTCAAGAACTCCTAGCGTTACTCCATACTGTTACTGCACTTAAGATACAACAGCATCTTTAGCTACTGTTATCAACAATTAAGTTACCACGAAACTCCGCAAAGTTGAAGAACTGAGGCTCTGTGACACGTGATTTACACAAAATTTACCCACAGATTCCTTAATATTACTAGAAAAACAGTAGCCATGATGCAGCTGATTTTTCAATATCTTGTGGTTACAACTTGTCTAATGCTACATGTATGTCTTGCTGGGAGCACAGAGGAAGGCTCCCTGCCAGGACACCTGCAAGTACTTGGTAAACACCAACCTCCAGAGGGCCACATTGAAATTCTCCATGATCCTCCATCCCCCAAGGAATTCTGGGAGAAATATGCTCGGGACGGCATCCCCGTCCTGTTCCGCGGGATGGCTAACAACTCACTCGGGGTGCATCGATGGACAGATGATTATCTCCGGGAACACTACAGTGACCTTCGAGTGAAGATAGAAGCAAAAGCAGAGAAGGAATATTATCCTGAAGGAGACAAGGGGATAGGACAGGACACCGTGGGGTACTTCCTCAAGACGTACAAGTCACGCAATGCATACATTGTCTCACAACTTCCTGACCCGATGTCAAAGGAAGTCTCTGTTCCTCCCTTCATGACCTGCGGCACTTTCAGTCAGCGTCTTCTGGAGGCCAATCTTTGGTTTAGTAGTGGGGGCACCAAGAGCCTGCTTCATCGGGATGCAGACAACGCAATCAACTGTCTCTACTTCGGAACTAAAGATTGGATCTTCATTGATTCCAAGCATGAAGATATGATCCCCATAGCTGATGAAGAGACCGAGGCTTATGGTGGGTATGCTGTACTGAACCCTGATAGTGTGGACCTAGAGAAGTTTCCGAAGTTTGCTGATGTTCCTTGGACCTATGGGAACGTGACTGCTGGAGATTGTATCTTTCTACCTCGGGGTAAGCATATTGCTCTGATAAATTAAACAATTCTTCATGTATTTAATAACTTCTCACATCATCCGTTTGGAGCTAGTAGGGCATTAACTCTGCGCTAAAGTTCATGATAGGACGCCCTCTTATCTGTAAACTGACAGTGTGATGTACATGAAATTATTATTGATCAAGTTAAGAATAACGGTATTGATACAAGGGCTAATGCTGGGATTCAAAAGTGCTTTGAATACAGAAATATAAAGAACTCATGTTTATTTTTTACAATGTGTGTAGCTATTGGAGAGGTTGTTCTGATACAAAATTTGTGCGAAGGGACAATCCTATAATTAGCAGGAATAGTTTTTTTTTTAAACAGCTGTTCTCTAATCGTGCAGCTTTTAATAATTTGTGAATAAGTTTTTTTTATTGCTTGATGCGCATAATTCATTGTTGATAAGAGCAGCATGGATTTCTAGGGGTATAGCGAAATGTGACCAGAAAAGATGTGTCAATAACACAAATTGCATATTTGTTAAAAAATCATAGTTTTATAAGTTAGAAGTAGAGCCACAGGATAATGCAATGTAATATAGATAAACCTTCACTCAGATTTGTTAAAAATGGAACTTTTAATCAACAAACATCACCAACTATTATGCATGTTGCCTTCCAGACGCATCTTTTTCGTACCACTATACATTTCGCTAAGCTATACCTAAATCATGTTTGTTCTCTTTCAGGTTACTGGCACCAGGTCCGTTCCTATGGCTCTCGGAACCTTGCTGTCTCTCTCCTCTTCTCCCGCATCAAGGATAATGATCTGTCTGACTGTGAGGGCGCCAAACTGTCTTACACACCGCTGAGTGACATGGAGATGGTCTTCACCTATGATGGCTATGCAGAACAATCCATGGGAGATACAGATCCATTTGAGCTGAAGTAAGTAAAACAAATAGTGGACAACAAAATCATAGCAGAATCCTACATACATTTGTAGATAGAATGAATGAGTGAATGGTGGTGGTTATTTTACCTGACTGCTAAGAAAGCATAAATGCTTGTAAGTAAGCAACCAGACGGCAAACGGCTTTAGGTCCTCTCTGAGGGACCTGGAAATGAGGATTAATGCCATACCAGGGAGGTGAGACTTTAAATGGAGATTCCGTCTCGAAAGAATTTCCCGAGGGAAAGATATTCAAGATTAACTTGGCTTAACAACAAGTAATTTAACCCTCTTCAGCCATCAAATCCATCAACAGCCGCCCTTATCAGACCACAGATGCCCTCTGGCGATCCAAATGTTACGAAGTGTTACGCAACGCGGCCTGCTTCCCTAAGCTCTCCAAACACTTGATCGTAAAAAAAAGGCTTTGAAGCCATGCGAGTCACCGAGAAAATGACGTCATACTCATTGAAGATGTATATAGCTATAACAGACAAAAATACAAAATCGACAACTTATGGCACAAGGCAACCTTCTATTGGTTATCAAATGCTTTCGCTGTGCTCGGATAACTCTTCTGAAGACGTAGCCATCTGAACCAGCGAAATCGACCAAGGAAATCGTGAGTTAGAGTGAATGCAAGTTTCTCATCATCATCACGTTCTCTTCTAATTATTGACATTTTCCGAAAGTTTCCGAAATTTTTACATAGCTAGGAAGGTAGTCCATAAGTTTATCTCTTAAAATAACTAAATGAAACTGTGTTGTATATTTGCGCATTTGGTTTAATGAGGGTTAGAAGTTGTCAATTCATCACCACTTTTCACCCCGAGTACGGGCCGGCGACGCGAAAGCCGCCGTGCTCGCGCTGGGCTGTACATGCTGGATGTTGTTGGTGGAAACACACATAGCTGCATTACTACCCTGGCCGTGTATTCAAAGTTGTGCTATTGATTCTCAACATTTCAAACACCACTGTACAAAACTCAACTGATTTCATTCAAAGGCAGTACTATAGTGACGATTGATGACACCTAAAGAGCATTGAAATACAATTTGTTCAACTTTCTGATGTTAGAAAGAATAATTTAAAAATCAAAATTGTGAGTCTACTGTCAAACTTGCCGATCAACCGCATCGGGATGATTATGTGCGTTTGTACTGTATGTTGTGAGTGTATTGACTATTCATGTATTCAAATGCTGCCTATTTGCATGGAGCGGCCTACGCATTCACGATGAAACCATTTAACCGTACATTCTGGTTCGCTGCAACGAATAAGATTTTCCGTTGATGGAATTTCACACGTGCATAACTTGTATTGGTCTCCAACTTCGCATACACCAGGCTCAAGAATCAAATCTTCCTCAAAATCAGTCAGAAAGTCTAAATCGTCGCCTACCAAATACTCTTCCCTACGGTACGCCGCCATTTTTGTCGATAGCAGCCGATGTGTATTTCCAACAATGCATTTCGCGAGCCCTATGTCACTCAGTTTCGGGAGTGAGATTTACGAGCTGTGCGGTCCGGGTGGGGGATTAAGGGGATTATGATAGGGGGAAAAAAGACTCTCGGTGCAACGGACTGCTTCAAAGGGCCCTCATAGATGCGGAATCCATTTAACTCACATGCCCTGGCCATACCAAATGGCACTAGCGCATCGCTTTGGTTTCGAACCCGGATTACCCTATTTTCGAGACCACTGCTGTACCGACTGAGTTATTGAAAGAGGGGTGCATATTTGAATGAGGGGTGGGTGCACGTTAAACCCCGTCTTAACCAGACAAAATAGTCACAGTGTCATCCTGACGTTGTCCGGATTAGATCCTACTGCATTCTAGTTAAGTCATGTCAATCGGGGTAACATCAGGATAACATCAAGGTGACATCGAGGTGAGTTTCACCCTAGTCGGGCCAGGGTGAGATCGCGGTAACATCCGGACGACATCCTGACAACATCCTGACAAATGGCCAGTTAAGACGCTCACAGAACTTTAACCGGGTAGATGATGTCAGGGCCGTGAAAAATGTAAAAATTAGTTTACATTTACATTAATACAGTGGATTCACAATTCACAGCACCATCTAGCGATACCAGTGTTTAGTTGATTTTATGTGATACATATATGACAAAAATATCAGTTCTGGCATTGTTATAACCCTAGGAGATAAGGGGATTTAATTAGAATTTTGGTTGGGGACTGGGGAAGGTTTGAATAGCTTTATCAGGGGTTTAATTTTGTATTGATTTTGTACTGATGGCCCTTATCACAACGTTTTGGTCATTTTCTCCACTTTTGGCCAAAACTGACCATTATAAGGTAACTTAATTTTGGTCAGGCATACATTTTTTTGATTGTTATTTTCAGTAAAGGAGATCTGATGGGTTTATTCTATGTACAAAAGTGCCTTGATTCTAGAAAACTTTTCAGATTGCCCCCCCCCCCCATCAAAAACAATATGTTCAATTCGGTCACATTTTTGCAAAATGAAACCCTATTTGCCTTATCAGTAAAAGATAGTACATGTGAAGATCCTAAAAAATCACCCTTTTTTGTCAGTTTGAAGTTTTATCATTTGGAGATTACCAGCAGAGCAAACTCAAATATTTTCCACTTTTTTTGCAGTGAAACATTTCAAGAATGGTGTCGACACAGTGGATCCGCGATGAGTACACAAGATGTCTTCGGTTACCTGCGACGCGTAAGTGATACCGAACATGACATCGGTTCCATTAGCATTCACTATGAATATGACGGACAAAGAAAGCGGACAAAATATACAGTTCCTCAGGTAGACAAAGGAACATCCCTTCACTGCTATTATGTAAAAATGGGATGTTCCTTTATCTACCTGAGGAACTGTATATTTTGTCCGCTTTCTTTGTCCGTCATATTCATAGGGATTGCTCCTATTGCTATCACTATAATTACAACTGCTTTCTGCAACCAGAATTTTGTGCAGCATGAAATGTAAGTAATTCTTTCCATTCTGTTAAGAAAATATTCTCATTCCTTCTTTATGTGGTAATTAAGATGATTGTATTTCCACTTGAAATGCCACATTCTGATGGACAATTAATCTATTGTGATTTTGTGAAATTTGCAGGATTTTCATGATCGTGATGCAGATGACGAGAACAGTATGGGAGGTGCTGCATTTCTACTTGAAATAGCTGATCAGGTAAATTGCTATAAAGGTGTGCCAGTAGATCTACCCTTTGTACCATACAATCCCTGGATAGTTATACAACTATATGGTCTAATGGCAATTTCTCCACGGTTAAACAAAAAAACAGATTATTTTTCATTATTATAATAATCCTTGACCTTGGTGGCTCTGAATGTAACTGAAGGTGAAATTCAGTTATATAAATCACTTGTATATTTTTTAAGGTTCATTATTCCTCCAAATTGTTCATAATATATTCAATGGGTCTAACCATATACATACATGTACAGTATATCTAGGGAATGGGTAATTGTTAGCAACTTAGCATATCTCTTATATGAAGCTTCTTTGTTTTCAAGTACACTACATGATCTATGACGGTTGAAAATCTTTTCTTTTACGCTATACAGCTACCAGTTAGCATACTGTAAGCAAATCTCTTATGTGAAGCTCCCTTGTTCATATACCCTACATGATCTATGACAGCTGAAAACTATTTTCTTTAAGGTTGTACAGCTACTAGATGTGGACAGAGACAACAAAGTATCCTGTAGGGAGGAAGCCCAAGGCCTCAAATTGGCAACCCTGAAGAAGTTAGCGCACATCATTGACAGGGACCCTGCCAACACAGAAGAGTACGAGTATGCAAAGTTTGAGCCCGACGAAATCAGGTATGCTTTTGTATAAATCTTTCCATTTCTCCTCTTCATTTATACATCAATCTATCTCTTTTGCTTTTTTCAAATTTATTTCTCAAATGCATATACTCAACAATATGGTTTATATATCAATCTACTCTTAATTCATTACTTTGATGTTTAATGTTTACATATTTCCTTCATGCTATCAATTTTTGTATATGATGTTATCAGTCTTCAGACTAAATTCACTTTTAATCTCTAAAATTTTGTAGTTTATGTTAATAATATCAATGAACCAAAATTGTGAAATTTGAAATTTATTACCTCAATCCTTTGTAATTAAAAAAGGCAAATTTCTTTTGTTGTTCTCTCTTTTCTTCAGGGACTTTATTTCTGATCTGATCTCAAGTCATGAGAGTGGAGGGCAAGCCATTATCTCACGTGAAGATTTTGTTAAAGCCTATCAAAAGTTTGGAGGATCCCAGAAGATTGGAAACGAGGTAAAAATCACCAGATAGGTGCACGAATGACAGTGTACCTTCATTTCATACATCATCATCATTATTATCATTATTATTATCAGAATTGTTATCATCATTATTATTATCAGAATTGTTATCATTATTACTATTATTATTGTTATTAATATTATTGTTATTGTTATTATTGTTATTGTTACTATTTCTATTACTATTACTACTACTACTATTGCTATTACTATAACTACTACCATTCGCATTCCCATTCGCATTCCCATTCCCATTCTCTTTACCATTCCCATTCCCATTTCCTATACCTTTACCTTTATCTTTATCATTATTATCATTATCATTATTGTTATTATTCTTATCATCACAATTTTCATCATCATCCTCATTTATGTATTCATTTATTTGCCAGTTCATAAAAAGCACAATTCAATAGCAAGAGACTAATACAAACTAACGATATGAAAGAACATGTAAAAGCATTTGGAGCAGCAAGTGGGTCTGCAGTATAATAATAATAATAATACCCGGAGGCATGTGCCCCCAGGCTTGCTGCTCCCATTATGTCTTTATAATAATTCCAAAGTGAAATATATATATAATCTAACGACAGAAACAGTATGTAACCTGAAGTAATGGCATAATTCACTCTAGATAAAGATAAAATTGAAAGAATTAGAGTCAGAAACGATTGCTACAATGTAGTGTTTATATGATTTAAAAGTTGTACACATGTCATATAATATTATGCAAAGAAATAGCTAGTAACGGCATTCATTTTTCTTGATTGCAATCTTAGACTTGACTATCTTGTTTTCTGTGCCTGCAGGTATTTGATATATTGACGTCAGAGGAAGAGGAATCCGTTTCTACTTTTCACTTGAAGGACCAAGTGGAGAATATTTCTGCTCTCTTTGAACCCAAGATGAAACACCAGAAAGCAGATCTCCGCTGGGAAGAACAAGATGATGCTTGGATGGCAGAACATCTTAGTCCTCAGAGTCATGGAGAACTCTAGATACCTTTCACACCAAATAAACTATATTTGAGAATTTTGTGGCCTTGAGAAATTCCGGACAGAGGCCTCCTTTCCTGAGGCGCAGTATTTTGAGGCCCAGGACAGGGCCCGGGGGAAAACTTGGCTTCAAGTCCAAGTCCAGCCTTGAGTAGTCTAACACTGCTGTTTATTAAAGCCCTTCTGTAGGCCTACGTGCCATAAGGTTTTCACTGAGACGTACATGCCAATCAAGTTTCAAACATGTTGATAAAACCTTCATGATGAACGTATGTCTTTTTGTTTCATCTGTATCATAAACAAAACTATGTCTTTAGACCCATTCAAATGCCAGTATAAAGAGTATTTAGTGCTAATTGTTTAGCTATTTGAAAATGATATATATGGCATGAATATCTTGAATATGTTTACTAATTGAAAATCTCTTTGGAAATTAGTTTTCACTATTGTATCTTTGTACTTATATTGTATATTTTGTTTCCATGTTTAATAATGGGTTTATGGTTTAACGTTATCCCAACCTTTTCATGATCCAACCACATTGGCTTGTACAATGCTATTGATTTTATGTTTTATACATGTTTTGAAAATGGAGATGTGGTAATCAATTCAGTTCAATCGCAGACTTTCCACATTTGATACGGCTGGCCCTTATAAGTCATTCGAAATGTTAATCATATAATATACATGTACTCTAATTCTAATGTTTAGGTATTTTACACAAGTGAATTGTGAACATAATATTGAAGTTTTTACTACACAACACACACATATTTTGTATCAGATTCATTAAGCATACAACATAAATTGATTTTTGTTGTGGATTGATTCAATATATTTTCATCAAAACTGGATCTAAAACTTCACTTTTTGTAATTATACATACATATAAGTACAATCTTATATTGTCTTGTAACAAGAACATAAATTGCTCCATTCGTCCATCTGCTTCATACAATGAATGGAACAATCATGGATTGCCATCTTGTATACTTTTGTCACATGTACATAGTATATTTAAAATATGCTCCAAAATAATGTGGCAGTGTAGAATTCCGATCTGTGTCAGACAAAGAGTTATCTTGCAAACTACAAGCAGATCGTTTCTAGAATTGATGGTATGTTTTTACTTGACTGCTTTTAAGGAAGGCATGTGTTGATTGTGTTTGTTTTTGAGTAAGCAACCAGGGGACCGAAGGAGTTTTAAGCCCTCTCTGAGGGACTTGACATTGAGGCTTAATCAAGACCTTACCAACAAAAAATTAGCAAATCAATTTGGTTCCCAGTAGCAAGACCACTACTCTACCACTGAGCCATTGCACCTTCACAAGGTATTATATATCCCAAGATAGAAACAAATTTTAATATCATTGTAGCGAAGAAGTGGAATCAAAGTATGACATCTTTCAATAATGAATACGAAAATAGATCAGAAAGTTATACAGTGAAATGTCTTTCAAGTATGAAAATAAAAAAGTAAATACATTTATACACTTGATTTGTATTGCTTATTATGCAAATATACATGTATCACCACTTTTGCCTTTGCCTGTGTACATATTTCAGTACTTTAAATTCATTACTTTTGAAATTGCCTGTTTCTATAAAACCTAACGTCATGAAACTTTTGTATTTAGTTAAAGAAAGAAATATATCAGATTAACATGATTTTGTTTTCTTTTTCTGTTATTAATTGTGTGCATGTTAAGTTATTCTAATCTAAAATTTGATAATTTAGCCACGTTATAAAAAAGAGTGGTAGAAAGGGTGAAATGCTATTTGGTCTACAACCAGATTGTCTACGTCTATTCCCATATGGTCTACACTCAGCCAGTCTACTATCCATGTGGTCTAATAATAATTTCATCTTCTTATCATTTGGTCTAATGACCATTTAGGCTAACATCCATTTGGTCTTATTTCCAATAGGTCTGATCTCCAATAAGTCTACTACCCATTTGGTCAATTGTTCATTTAGTCTAATAACTACCTGGTCTTTTTCCCAGTGGAGTTGTAAAGTTTCCCATCCTTTTCTCTTTTCCTTCTTCTTTTCTTCACTTAAAGATTGTGTCGATTTCAGGAAAGCGGGAATGTTGACACAAAAGCGGAAAAAAAGAAAAATAAAGAAAAACTAAGGACAATTATTATATGTAAGATAAAAGAAGCCGAGCAGCATTCGAAGTAAGCCTGCGTTATGCCTAGTGCTTCTACTGATCATTGTATGGGGTGAATTAAAGAGGGGAAAAGTATTTTTAAACAAATTGCGTCCATTTACAACCATGAAAGCAGTGACATTGTACGGGATAATTGCATGAATTAATCACACTGACATAACAAAAATACAATCATGATCACATCATCGTGAAAATGTTTTATTCACTGGCATGCAGGAATACAGGTGACACTTATCCCAGGGAGTTGGAATGGATTCCCTGGTTATCCGGTCGTCATGCAGTTAAAATAAACCCATTACACAGTTAGTGAAATAGTAAGTGACAGCTGTATACACAATCATATATGGTGAGAAAAAAATGTGTAGAAATATAATAAATGTGAGCGTGAAACATATGCCCCGATATTACATCTGCAGAGAACTGGCAAAATACTCTATATTCTATTACTACTAGACAAGTTTTATAGGCCTACGACTACGAGCCGTAAGACAGAATTTCTAGACAATAGGAACTATATTCTTTGTAGACAGGTAATCGGGATTTTTAGATGATTGCCCCGATTACTTTCTCAATTATCTTCGGTGTTTGATGTCTCTACCACGGCGCGGATCCAGAGGGGGGAGGGGTGGGAGAGAGAGAAAGAGAGAGAGAGAAAAATAGAGAGAGAGAGAGAGAGAGAGAGAAATAGAGAGAGAGAGAGAGAGAGAGAGAATAGAGAGAGAGAGAGAGAAGGAAACGAAGGGAAAGGAGAAAAAAGAAGGGTGAAGAAGAAAAGAAAAGGGGAAAAAATTAGAAGGAGATGGTGGAGGCGAAAGGCATTGCCTCCCCTTGTCAAAAATGAAAGAGAAGGAAAGAAAGGGAAATAAAAAAAGAAAAGAGGATATAAAGAGGTAGAAGAAAAGAAGAAGGATATCAGTTGCGATTTTCCCGCCAACAATTTGTGGATCGGGGGGGGGGGGGGCAAAAGGCCCTTGTCTCTCCCCCCCCCCCCCCCAAAAAAAAGAGAGAAGGCAGGGAAAGAAAACTGGAGGAGAGCTAAAAGGGAACAAAAAAGAAAAGCGTGAAAAGAAGTGGAACTCCCGCCAACAACGCGTGAATCAGGGGGGTGCGGGCGAAAGGCGGGGCGGGGGGGCGAAAGGCCCATGCCTCCCCCAGCAAACCGAAAAGAGAGAAGGAAGGGAAGTGAAAGGGAAAGAGGAGGGAAAGGGAAAGAGGAGAGAAAGGGAAAGAAAAAAAAGATAAAGAAGAAAGGTAGAGGAGGTCAGTTACAAGTTTACCTGCCAACAAGGTGTAGATCGGAGGGGGCCCTCTGGCGTACTGATGGTGGGGGAGGGGGCAGTTGCCCCCCCCCCCCAATAAAATTCAAACGTGGTTCATTTCTAATTCGATGATTTACAAATGTTGCTGAAATGACATAAATTTCCGAGATTTTTTCTCACTTTTTGGTCAATTATACTTTTGTATGCGTTTGTTGGAAGATGACGAATTGGAAATGACTGGGTTCATCTACATGTATTTTCAGTCTTGTGTATACCCTTTGTTGTCTGATGACGCCACCCGGCCGCCCCACTCTTTTTTTTTTAGCTGTGTAGCAAGGACACCTATCAACAGTGGCCACTTTCTCGGTTTCCCTTGAGTGGCCACAATAGACAGGTTTGAATGGTTTGCGGCATTTCGTATGACTTAGGGGCAGGGTGGGGGTGTATCATTCTGCACATATTACATGGATACATTAGTTTTTATTCAATTAATAAAGGGCACTTACATTGAAGGTTACCTGACATAGATCCTTGAACTTGAATGTGAATTCTCAATCCCACGCCCCTATCCCACATCCCAGGAGTGTTGAGTAGTGTTGATTTTTTAAAAATCTGTCACATATATCCCATCCACCTCGAAGATTCTCACAAAGGAAAATAATGTGGTAATGAATACATTTGGACAAAAAACATTTTTATAACTTTGCGGATCCGGAATGAGCGCAGACTTATAGCCTGCTCGATGTGCGCATAAGCGTCACAATGCATGTGCGTAACAACATGTGCAATTTTCAACCAATCAGAAGGCAAGGAACCGCGCGTCGATACGTTAAAATGCTTTGACCCGCGCCTAGCCTCGCGACGACAGCTCTCTTTCTCGCATCTTCACTTCGCCAACAAACCTTATAAGTTATATAGGCTAGGCCTATAGCCTACCCATATTCGTAGATCTAGACTTAGAAGCTACGAACGTAAAATAGGAATTCTTCTTACGAAAGTGAGCCCTCAAGTTGTGCTGTTGCCGTTCACAAAAAGGTAGTACCGTACCGTACGGTACATTTTCGCCACTTAAAGTCTAAAGAAGTAGCTACCGGGATATGGCTCTTTGTTTTAAATAGACCATCTAGATAAATCAATGGGCCTAAGCCTAAGCCTTTTACTTGTAGATCTACTAAAAGTAGGCCTAGGCTCTGTATAACTAGTATAAGCTTGGCTTGTATAGAGCTTTTGTGAGTAGTGTGCCGCGGGGTTTCATATCCTTAAACTGCTGGCGAACAGAGCAACAAGACTTGAGCCTTATAATTGTCAGGTTTATCCAATTGTTAGGTTTGTCCAATAATGCCAAGTTTGTGCCACAGAACTTAGTCGGACATTTCGATTAGACCTAGACAGTACGGACTAGGCCTAGGCCTAAACCAGAAGTGTATGAACATTGTGAACAACTTCTGCTTTAATCAACATGTCCAGGAACCTACACGACTCAATAATACGCTCGATATTCTTCTCAACACCTATCCATCGCGGGCCGCAAAGGGACGTTCTTACCACCAACGTTGATCAGGAAAACGGCAGCCACACATGTTTGTATAAATTCCTTACATACACTAATTGCAGGGAATGTTGTGCCAATACATGCAAAAGGATTCAACGAGAAAAATTGATAAATATTGAATGAATAACAGGAGGAGAAATGTTATCAATTTCTAAGATTTTAAAGCAACAAGTCATATTATATATTCATTTGCATTTTCAATACCCTTTAACGAGCAGTGCAGTGCTCTGCATAAAACATAATTTCAAATTATACATGAACATACCGTCGTGTCAATTCCCCTCATTTATTTTAAGATCAGTTTACTGTATAAAAAGCACTTTATATGAACCAGGTAATGTTATTATAATTATCATTATTATTATTACAACAGACTCCAACCTATTGTTAAACACAGTCAAGTATGGTAATTAGGCCCGGCCTGCCACCTAATAAGCTAAGAATGAAATGCATGAAGGATATTTATTCTCCTTGACTAGAACAATTTAAACTACATTGTCACCATGTTCACATTAATATACTAATTTTTAATGGACATACATTTGTTAATGTCACAATACAATAGGTTCACTTTCCACATGTTGTCTTTATATTTGCAGGCAAGAGTTCATTTATTATTTAAGCCCCAGTGCTTGCAAAAGTGTGGCGAAGCACATGTGCCACATGTACAGTGAGCAAGTGCAAGAGAAGTATTCCAAGCTGAACGCATATGGCAGCCCGTTCGAGCTCCCTAATTGACAGCATATGGGGGTAAGGTAACCGAATTGGGATTGTTCATAAAAATATCATATATTTATATTTACATATTTTTATCGTTGTTAATATTATCTGTAATGCATAACGGTGTATAAAGGATATTTTATTACATGTTATATACATATGTAAAGATCATAGTTCACATTTGATTATTTGGTCTTTGTCTTCATTAGATTAACGGCGTATATGAGATGTAGTGGCAGTTGTCATGTTTTCTTCGTAACACATCTCACATACTACTACTACTAATAATATCGAATATTTAGGAGCGCTAAAAACAAGAAGTACCATAGCGCTTACAAATACAAATATATGTAAAGAGGACAAGAAAGTACAGTACAGGAAGTATATCACATAGATCATAATAATAAGATGTATTGGTTAATTTATTTTTCTCAATCGGTCGATTCGATAAGATAACTCTCCATCAATAAAAGAAAAATAATGCTTATTATGTTCCTAATGATTTTGAGGAATTGCAAACATCAACACTGAAACGTCTGATCAGTTGCCGCAGCGACGTCTCCGGCCGTCGCGGGGACGTTTTGACAACGTCCCCGAAACGTGGCCAAGTTCTAATATAATAGACCTGCTGGAGACTGGAAAAATCTACCCTAAAATAGAATATGTCTCAATTTCCTGCGACTCCCCTGGGACCCGGCTAGTCGAGTCACCACCAGGTCGCCACCTCGTCTCCAGGCCAGTACCTACTTAAATTAACATATATAAACTTATCAGTGGAGAGAAGTAAAAAGATTTGTTTTTATTGTTAGATATGAAATCCCTTGTGTATATTTGAATTATTGTTTAATAAGTACCCTTTATTTTGTATTTCAAATATTATTTTATAGGATGGTCCCCCAGTTAACGAAAAGATCGCTAGAAGTTGAACAGGTAAAGTATGCATCCTCATCCCATCATATTTTC